ACTGTAGATTAATCATATTCAGTCAGTCAGTAATATATAACGAAGGACCAGACACACATATGCATAGGTCCAAAGTGCCACATCTCATTAGCGCAATAAGATGAACACCGAATTCATAGAAGTAGTTAATTTAATGGTGGTAATATATAAAAGAAAGATTATATATGAGGATATAGTACAGGAAGAAAGACAGATTTGAAGCAATTTTAATCTCAAGGTTTAAGGGAAGATAAAGAGTGTATACACCTACGCCATTGTGATCGATTCTGAGCCATGTCACCCAGAGTCTCCAACCATTGGTTACGATAGTCACGCGGACCCCAACCAGGTAGTCTGCATCTGCCAACATGGCTCAGACTAGAAGTTAGTGACTTCAAGCACTGACGCCACGTTTTGGTTTGGCCGTCCCTAACTCTTTTCCAACCATCCCCTACACTAGTCAGCATTGCGCGTCGTGGTAATCTGTGTTCAGGCATACGTAACACGTGGCCCAACCATCTCAGTTGATGAGGATTCACAATCTCATCAACTGATTTACCATCATTCCCTAATACCCTGCGTCTAACCTCATCATTACTTACCCGGTTATCCCAGCAGATGCGAGCGATATTTCTAAGACATATGTGCTCAAATACTAGTAACGCACGAGTATCTTCTACTCTTAATGGCCATGTTTCACAGCCGTAAAGTAGAACAGAGCGAACTGCTGCTCAGTATACTTGTCCCTTAATTGATAGACGAATATCTCGCCTTCGTCATAGGTGACGTAAGTTGGCAGAAACCAAACGAGCTTTCTGAATTCGTGCTGAGATCTCGTCAGATACCAACCCATTAGGACTGATCAGACTTCCAAGATAAGTGAAGTTATCGACTCGTTCGACTACTTCACTCCATATCCTTAGTTCAAGTGTTGACACAGGCCAGTCCCGGAGTAACAGTTTACATTCGGATGGAGAGAAACGCATTCTAAACATCCTGGCATTATTACTCAGTGCTACCAAAAGACTGCATTTTGTCAGCGTCTTCACCAAACAGGACTATGTCATCTGCATGTTCTAAGTCGATAAGTGGACCTCCTGGTAGATCAATCTCCGAAAATTCGTTTGATGAGAGCGCTATTTCCAGCAGTAGGTCTATGACGAATGAAAACGAAAATGGAGATAGCGGACACCACTTGAGGTTGTAAAATCAGATGACAGTTCGCCATAAACTCTCATTCGACTGGTAGTGTTCGAGTAAATAGCCTTCACAAGGTTAATGTACTTCCGAGGTACACCCTTTAATTCCCAGATTTTAGCTAAAATATTAGTCAACATTATCGCTAAAATTTGACCACTATTTTTAAAGACCTCTGGAGCCAAGTCAACTGGATCAGCTACTCTGCTTCATTTCACAATAGCTATAGCTTTCTGAACTTCAACTAGAATAGGGGAACCTACTTCAATTTTCCATTCAGACTGTCTGAGAATGGTGTGCAACTGTAGAGTAGCGAAAGCCAGCTAAACCGTTCACTAAAGTGTCTTGCCCATCGTTCTAAACGCCTGGGCTTAGAGCAGATAAGTATCGTCTTTTCCCCAGATTGTCTCGCATACAGTTGACTTCTTAATTCCGGTTTCATTAGTCTGATGTTGCATATAGCCGCTGCCTTTTTCATCTCTTTTACTTTCGTTGCCCACCACTGCTAACTGTTTGATTTGCTTTCGCTCTTCATCATGTTCAGAGCCTGACGGAATGAGTTCACGAGAATCCATCAGTGCAATAGACTGAGAAGAAATTCATTGGTTTTTTGTAACCTTTTGGTTTAAATTACTAATAGATGTTACTGCTGTTTCCACAGCTGTTCGTACATCTTTCCAAGCAACATCTGGGTCAGCCTCGTTTACAGAACTGCCTAGATGTGAACTCAGTTGTTCCTGGAACTTATTTTTGACTTTCTCGTCACTCAGTTCAATTCTAATGGGTCTTCTTAGTGTAGTTTTCTTGCATCCAGTGAGGTGCAAACAAATGTATGCTCGTATTAAAGCGTGATCAGAGTCTAAACATGTGTTCCAATACGAGCAACAATCTTCTATCGAGCCTCTCCAACGATATCTGATGGCAATATGGTCTATTTGAGTCCATCGTTGGTTTGGTGCAGTGGTTCTACACATAAGACGATGTCTCTCCTTATGCTTAAAATTAGTATGCTAAAAATAAACGATTGTCTTAGCACAGTTGCAACAGACGACCACCATCAACTGTTTACTGAGCTGGAATACAGAAACATCCACCTAAATGTCTTTCTATTTGGTTTAAGCCACCTACTTAAGCATTAAAGTCACCTGCTACGAGTACTATGTCTAAGCTCCTAGCTTTTTGAAGAGGTTTTGTAAAGTTTATTTTTCACTTCATCCGAGCTGCAGTCAGTGGGAGCGTAGGCAGAAATGACGAAAAGGCAACGACGTTTGTCCCTATCATTCAAAGTTCTTACGGAGCCGTTTAGCTGAACAGTACATAGGCGACTGTTAACGGGAATCCACTGCAATAGTGCGGGTTCTGCTCTCGTACTAAGTGCTGTGCCTACACATGCAAGTACACGAGAACTAGCCATTGGCTCGCCAGATACACGGAGGGTGGATCTCATCGGCTCTCCATTTTGGCGAGGTGATGTCAAGTGAATGACCAGACTAGGATCCTATATGTGTTTCGGAGACACGGCATACATCGATGAGACGAGGTTCTAGGGTTTTAGCCAAGGAGGCCTTTTGACCGATTTGACTTAGGGTATGTACGTTGAAGGCTCTAATCTGTAGTTTGGAGTGGGGTTTCAGTACACCTGGGACAGTGCTTTACGCACTAGAATCGTCGGCTATGGTGACACTTGAGGAGAAAGTCGAAAGAGGAATTTTAGATTTTAAAGTTGAGGTAGGAGGAACTGACGAGGTAAATTGATTATGAATACAATGATCTTTAGTGTTGTCAGAGGTATGAGGGCGGTTATCACTTCCCGGTTGCCCACACCGTGGAAGGGTTATTCCAGAGGTACCTGAAAAGGAAATCCAATTAGAAGTGGTCTTAGTAACCTGAGGGCGTGATTGCAGCACCCAAGGAACAACTGCTTGAGGTCAGTCACACATAACATTTTTGTGTTAGCTCCGTACTTGTTGGGACCTTACCGCCAGAGATGGATATCCGTGGGATAAGGAGAGGCGTGCACTTTTAGGGTCGAACTTTTCTAACCCAATACCTCATTGTGGGAAGGCAGCATCGCTGTCATGCTGATTGTCTGAAGGAAACACCTTACTGCCGTAACACCTCTGTACGGTCAGCAGCATGACTTCGCCTTAGGACATTGGGTTTGCTGCTTTTAGTCTTACCGTTCTTCAACCGACCTGTCTGGCATGACAGGACCTTGATGAACGATTGTTCCAGTCAGTATAGCTCGAGTGGTTCATCACGATAGACAAGCCCGGCTACCATGTCAAGGTAGAAGAAACGGTCGAGTTCATATTCACAATGATTTGTGGAAATAATAGCAACTGTGACGAAATATTCATACCGACTGAAGAACATCGTTGCGAATATCTGGATCTAGCTTTATTGTTGGTTAACACTCATTAACAAACCGTGTCGGAAACCTTGAAGAAATTGACTTATCTACAGAAGATTCAGTCTGAACCACAGTTATGTGTTGTCATCAAACCATTTAGCGGACCAATAATCTGCATTTTCAAACTCACTAACTTTAAAATATAGAAGTAAACAAATATCCTTTTTTTATCAAATACTTCGCTGCCATTTACACTTTGAGATGCGCTTGTCATATAGATGTAGCGATTAGAACTATCTACCTATTCTTATCTACATCTCTGTGGGAGAAGGAGATTAAATCATTTATCGTCATCATTATTCAATTTATATTTCTCTCTCATTACAGTAATCATATGTATGGACTGTTTCTACTACTTTTAACAATGCGCATTGGACAATATTTTCTTGTTAGCTTTAATTATAGTAATTTTGACTGCCAGTTAGAACTCAAATCTGCGGTATGGTAATCGCTATTTCCGGGGCTGTTTATTCAAGAAAATGTTGACAATATTGTATTACACAACCACAGATCGAAATACAGCTGCACTTTTCATTTATTGATTATAGTAGTTAGCACTTGTGTAATTGTTGAGTTTTTAAACAGTCAGTCATAGTCAACAGGTGATCGGGTATGGATATACATTGATCCGATTTGCCACGACACAGCACCACAGCGACATAAAATTGACAAAGGGGATTTGGAATACTAGTAGTATCGATAATGGCAGAAACAGGCACAGAAAATATAGCTGAAAAGGGGGATGAAATAAGTCGATAGAATGCAAAGAAGTATACTAAAACTCAAGATTTTACGGGGACATCTGAGCCAGTGTGAATGATTTGGATCAATCATTACATAAAGTTTTAAATCACTGATCACGATTATCATGCGAACATTAACAGGCTTTTAATACGGTTGACTTAAAAATAACAGACGGACAATTGGTGCTACCTTAATGTTTTCTATAGATCTCTCAATATTGAAAATATGAGATTAGTATGTGTAGAAATAAAAGAATTGTTTCAAAAATAAAACAGTGGGAATTATTGGAAATAAAATCGTTTTATTACCATAATCATTCAATGTACTCATAAACTTAATCACGGTTAAATACATTTGGAACTGCAGTGTTTTCATGCTTACACAGTTTTCTTCTCCATATTTTATCCCGGGAAACTTAATTCTCCTACTAGTTAATTTACTCAAATCAGTTAACTCCTAAGTTTTGTATACGTACAGCTGAGTAACAAATTAAAAAAGGAAACAAAAAAATTACAACAGTTTATATACAATTGAACACTATATACATGAAAACAAGAGAAAGCGATGGATTGAAAAATTCATCACTGAAATGACATTGACGATCCCAATTTAGAGTTGATAGCCAAAAAAGTCAAGGAAGTTTATCATTAGTTATTGCCAAAATGAATTATGATGTGTCCATGAAACGTCGATTCAAAGACATGACTATAAAGAAGAAAAACCAAAAACAATTCAACTTTTAAGAAATAGCATGGAATTTTGAGTTACAGTAATGCAAGAAATAAGCAGTAAGACTCTACTTACATTATATAGCTTATTTAACGTTCAACAATGCTAAATACAACTTCCCGTCAGAACTAATCTCAATTTTCAATCCAGCTGCTTGGGGATAATATAAAACTAGTTTGATACTAGTTGGTATATGGGGTTATCCCCTTAGTTTTTGAATCGCAGTTCGCACGATTAGCGTAACCGATGGTTAGAAATTTTTAGTGATAGTCGGAAATCGTTTGCAATGGCATAGGTGCATCCATTCTTTGTCTTCCGCCAAATTCTGGGTTTCTGAATTCCTCACAACATTTTTTGTGCCTTTTATTTGATTAATTTTTAATTTCTTGGATTGTATCTTCCATCTCTAGTCTTTTCAATTATCATTGTTACCGTTATTGCCTCTACTATTCTGGGTTTTGACCTGATGGTTTTATCTCTCTGTGCTAATAGAGTACGGCAACTTGAACTGATGTACCTACGTACCAGGTTCTACGTGACTAAATGACTGACTAAAAAGAAGATAAAATTCTAACTTCCTTAAAATAATAACTGACCATTAAAATTATTACATCAACGAGTAGCTGCGATTAGTACAAGTCATAGCCAAATGATTATGTATACACGGTCAAGATGCTCATCATTCCTGATTTGGTAAATGATTGCTGTACACAGAATTTCCAAGCACTTCTTATAAAAGCCCAGTCGCCCTCTTTTGTTTGCTGAAGTAGGAAGTTTACAAGTTCACAGGACAATGTATTAAAATTTCTGAATTTGACTTTGTCGCAAGCGGAACACTTGTATGATCAAGAAACAGGTACTGAGAAATTAGCGTAAACACATACTAGAATAAGTGAGGTCAAGATCATTAAAACGTCGAACGATGAGGTGTATAGAGCTAACTGACGATGATTTCCCAAAAAACCAATATTATCATAAATGTTTTTCTCATGCATTCACTGTGGGAAATATTTCCTTTCTAAAGAAAGTACTATAAGAGCAAAGATTGTTTATGGTGCAGTTTTCAACGGTATATTATTTATGGTTTTCATGCCATTGAAAGCATTACACTATAAAATGGCCAGCTCTCAAAATACTTCTATCACTATGTTCATATTATGAGCCACAAATACTGTGTATAGAGTATTTTTGATTAAAAACAATTATCAAAAGGGGTTTTGTGGAGATTTAGTATTTTCATAGTTGAAAGCGTGAGTCAATTGAAGCTAGACCACCATGGAAAACCTGGACAAAACGGCAGCTTCAAATGACTCACGCTTTCAACTGTAAAAACAATCAGTGTATTTTGAGAAAAAACTAAATAATACTGTTTTAGAAAGATCTGCCTATAGAAAGTATGTTGGTTCATAATAATTTACTGAAGTCCATGGGACTGCATCTCCTCACGATGCTCCACTGCCTTGTGGATCAGACCTTTAGGTCAAAGGCTCGGGGTGTGGTCCCCTAAGAAAACCACCTGCTTCGGTTTGGGCACCCGGGCAGTATCACAGCCCACACACAAATGAATGAAATTATGAACTCTATTGACGATAATATCCCTGGTCATACTAAAAGCAAGACAATTAACATTATTATTATTATTATTATTTACCATATCGCTAACTCACCCCCTTTTATCCCCAATTTGTGTAACCTTACTTTTCAACTTATGCAGCAGCTCGCCCATGGTGGAAAATCTGTCCTATCTAAACGATCTCCAGTCACTGTCTGGTTGAAAGTGAATGCTTCCACCGATAATGAATACTGAGGCAGTCTTTCTGAAACCACGTACGCCGTTCAAGCTGGCTTCCTTCAACGTTCGCACACTAATGCAGATCAGACAACAGATAGGGCTGGCTATGTCTTTGGAAGGTCTTAATGTTGACGTTTGTTGTCTATCCGAGACACGTATTCAAGACTCTAGTGAAGTACTACAAATCCGCTCTCCATCTGTCGCCTCGAAAAGCTTGTTCCACGTGCGCTTATCCGGGGACCCTGTGGCATCTTCGTCTGGTCTTGCTGGCGTTGGCGTCGCACTAAGCGCTAGAGCTGAGGCAGCACTAATCGATTGGATCCCCATTAACAGTCGGTTATGTGCTGTTAGATTAGAAAGTTCCATCAAAGTGAGAAGAAACCGGCGTGAGAAACGGTGTCTTTTCGTCATCTCCGCCTATACTCCGAGAGATTGCAGCCCGGATGCAATCAAGGATGAGTTTTACCATCAGTTAACAGTTCTTCTCCAGAAAGCGCGTTCGACAGATATTGTAGTACTGGCCGGAGACTTGAATGCACAGGTCGGGCGTCTAGGCATAGAAGAGAGTCGTCTAGGTGGCCGATGGGGACTTGTTGGTGGCCGGACAGATAACGGGGACCGTTTGCTACAACTGTGCACAGACCACAACCTGTTTCTGGCCAGCACTAACTTCCGGCACAGTCATCGCCGGTGTGCCACCTGGCGTCCTCCCTCTGCATCCCAAACCTGGACTCAGATTGATCACATCGCGATCAGCTACCGCTGGCGTGGTTGTGTACAAGACTGCCGCTCCTTTTGGAGTACTTACCTGGAGTCTGATCATGCCCTGGTCTGCGCCAATCTCACCTTACTTTACAGTGGCCGAAGGATTGACCACCACCAACAGATTGATGTTAGTAAACTGGCTGCAACTTCTGTTGCAAGTAAGTATCGAGCGGAGCTAGCCTCTAGGCTAGCTACCACCCCACCGAAAAGTATAGATGAGCATTGGTTGCATCTTCAAGACGCCATGAAAATGGCGAGTAAAGTCGCTTGCGGCTTCGCGAAACGTCCCGCTTACAAGCACTGGGTTTCTTCTGGCTCCTTACAACTGATGGAAGCCCGTCGGTCTACTCCGGGTGACCGTGAGTTTGACCACAAACGAAGGCTGTTACGTAATGAAATCGGGCAAAGCTTGCGCAAGGACCGAGAAGCCTGGTGGTCGAAGCGTGCTAATGAGATGGAAGCAGCAGCTGCATCTGGTAACTGCCGGAAGCTCTTCCAACTCATCCGAGCCACTGGCAGCAAGAAGTCTGCTGTGAGTGAAACAATCTACGAGGATGACGGGATGCCAATCACTAACATCTGTCGACGTCTTGGACGATGGGCGGAATTTTTCGAAGGGCAGTTCAACTGGCCTGCTGCTCCGGCAACATCAACCAGCTTGTCCTGCCCCCCATGGCCGGTGACGACTGATCCACCAAACGAGGCGGAAGTCCGCAAGGAACTCCAACTCTTGAAACGTTATAAATCACCTGGCCCAGATGACTTACCTCCGGCTTTTTTTAAAGATGGTGGTGACTTTCTGGCTTTGGGTTTGGGAGCAAGAAAGTGTTCCAACATCTTGGAATGAGTCAATAGTCGTCCCTATCTTTAAAAAGGGTTCACGTTGTTCCTGTAGCAACTATCGGGGGATAAGTCTACTTTCGATCGCGTCCAAACTATTGGCTTCTATCATTCTTCGTAGGTTGTTTAAAACCCGAGAACGATTGACTCGCGAGGAGCAGGCTGGTTTTCGTTCTGATCGGGGATGCATTGATCACATCTTCACCCTCCGCCAAATGTTAGAACACCGTCATACTTATCGCAGGCCAACAATCGTACTGTTTCTTGATATCAGGGCGGCCTTCGATTCGTTGGACAGGACTGTTCTCTGGGATTGTCTATTGAAGAAGGGTGTGCCTGAGAAGTTCATTAACATCTTAAAGGCCCTGTATACGAACACCTCAGGCAGAGTGAGGGCATACAACCACCTTTCTCCCTTGTTCCATTCGAGCAGTGGGGTTAGGCAGGGTTGCCCGATCTCACCATTCCTCTTCAACTTTGCCATCGACGACATCCTGGAAACAGCTCTGATGGATGTAAGTAATGGCGGTGTGGATATGTTGCCTGGAGAACGACTTCTCGACCTTGAGTATGCGGATGATATTGTCTTACTGTGCGATAATGCCCAAGGCATGCAATCAGCACTTAATCAGTTGGCAATCAGTGTCCGCAGGTACGGCATGTATTTTGCACCCTCCAAGTGCAAAGTACTCCTACAAGACTGGCAGGATTCTCATCCTGTACTCACCCTGGATGGTGAGCAGATCGAAGTAGTTGAGAAGTTCGTGTATCTAGGTAGCTATATAAGTGCTGGTGGTGGCGTGAGTGATGAGATCGATGCACGTATAAGGAAAGCCAGATCGGCTTATGCCAATCTGGGCCATCTTTGGCGCCTTCGTGATGTTAGTCTGGCTGTAAAAGATCGGATCTACAACACGCCAGTCAGAGCAGTTTTGCTCTATGCTTGTGAAACCTGGCCTCTCCGAGTTGAGGATGTTAGACATCTCTCTGTGTTCAATCGTTGTTGTCTCCGAAGGATTGCTGACATCCAGTGGCAACACCATGTTAGTAATGCAGAGGTTCAGCATCGTGTGTTTGGGCACAGCGACGACAATTCAATTGGTGTCACCATCTTGAAACACCGACTTCGGTGGCTTGGACATGTTTTACGAATGTCGTCCCAGAGACTTCCACGTCGTGCATTATTTGCCGACTCTGGGACTGGTTGGAGAAAGCGGAGAGGAGGTCAGTGTATGACATGGTGTCGTGGCATGAAAGAGAGCTGCAAAGGGCTAGCTTCCGTTGGTCCTTCACGACTCCCTGGTTGGGGTCCGAGAGATAGTGCAACACAGTGGCTAGAGACGTTATCAGATATGGCTCAGAATAGAAGCCAGTGGCGATCCTGCTGCAACCTTCTTTTACTTTCTACATAAAGAATGGTTCTAACTTTCCTAACTGAAAGAGTCTTCTGGTTGTACATTTCAGCCCGCCTTATCTTTTCATCCCTTCTCTTCCTACTTTCATTATTTTGTGTGGCGCATATGTACCTGGTGCCCTTTTGTACCAATATATATGTGTTTAAATAAATAAATAATACTGAAGTCCTTCAACTAAACTCCTGAAATGTAGATTTTCGCCACACTAATGTAAAAACTTTTGATATTATACCAGGCATCAATCAATTAAGGTAGGTCATTAGATAACTTACAGCCTTGCACAAACGCTTAATACCAGGTACGTTGTTTAAGGCGAACGATAAGTGTAGAACAGCTGATTAAACTTAATATTTGAGTAAAGTAAGAAGCAAGAAGACTCATTAAAAAAATTACCACTGGATACTGTAGGGCCAACGGGGAGTGTTCGTAAGCCAGTGCTGGTATCGACATTGGACAATTGAGTAACATTTTGGACAGTTTGAACACGAATCATAGAAGGTCCCATTCCAGGAGCGGCAATAACATGAACAGATGGTCCCATAGGATTACCAACAGTAATTGGTCTGACTGAAGGGTTAATAGCTCTAAATATGTTTTTGGTAGAATTCACCGGATTGGATATATGCAGTGCCATCGAAGAATCGCCAGCGAGTTCAGATGAAGGATTCTATCAAATTAGAAATGAAAAATAGATGAAAGAGGAACGTTAACAAATACATTTCTTCATTTTAAACACAGCTTTAATGAATGGGTAAATATTCCATCATACCTAAGAATAAAATGGACCATTCACACAGTTCGGAAGTCATAAAAAAGAGTAAATTACAAATGTACTGTGTGACTTTTCTACTTATTTAAAAATAAATCAAGTTTAATTCTGGTATTGTTTTAGGGTTTCCCTAAGATATAATAGTGACAGTACTTCATCGAAACCTAGATGATAAAACCAATAAGACCAATACATTGAGGTTACTAATAGGAAACAGCTTCTCAATCTTCAAGACTTTAATGTTCAAATATCATAACTATACAGCCTGATAGTATATCTACACATAGCACAAGCAAGTGGATTGTATACGCAATATAGGTGACATGCATTTCGTAATGGAGTTATAAAACATCCGAAAAATCAGTATTTGAAACAAAAGAAGTTTTTTGACTCTGAAAACCGATAGGTTCTGTGGCAGTATCTGTCATTGAAAAGTGTACCTCAGAAGTACATTAACCTTGTGAAGGCTATTTACTCGAACACTACCAGTCGAATGAGAGTTTATGGCGAACTGTCATCTGATTTTACAACCTCAAGTGGTGTCCGCTATCTCCATTTTCGTTTTCATTCGTCATAGACCTACTGCTGGAAATAGCGCTCTCATCAAACGAATTTTCGGAGATTGATCTACCAGGAGGTCCACTTATCGACTTAGAACATGCAGATGACATAGTCCTGTTTGGTGAAGACGCTGACAAAATGCAGTCTTTTGGTAGCACTGAGTAATAATGCCAGGATGTTTAGAATGCGTTTCTCTCCATCCGAATGTAAACTGTTACTCCGGGACTGGCCTGTGTCAACACTTGAACTAAGGATATGGAGTGAAGTAGTCGAACGAGTCGATAACTTCACTTATCTTGGAAGTCTGATCAGTCCTAATGGGTTGGTATCTGACGAGATCTCAGCACGAATTCAGAAAGCTCGTTTGGTTTCTGCCAACTTACGTCACCTATGACGAAGGCGAGATATTCGTCTATCAATTAAGGGACAAGTATACTGAGCAGCAGTTCGCTCTGTTCTACTTTACGGCTGTGAAACATGGCCATTAAGAGTAGAAGATACTCGTGCGTTACTAGTATTTGAGCACATATGTCTTAGAAATATCGCTCGCATTTGCTGAGATAACCGGGTAAGTAATGATGAGGTTAGACGCAGGGTATTAGGGAATGATGGTAAATCAGTTGATGAGATTGTGAATCCTCATCAACTGAGATGGTTGGGCCACGTGTTACGTATGCCTGAACACAGATTACCACGACGCGCAATGCTGACTAGTGTAGGGGATGGTTGGAAAAGAGTTAGGGACGGCCAAACCAAAACGTGGCGTCAGTGCTTGAAGTCACTAACTTCTAGTCTGAGCCATGTTGGCAGATGCAGACTACCTGGTTGGGGTCCGCGTGACTATCGTAACCAATGGTTGGAGACTCTGGGTGACATGGCTCAGAATCGATCACAATGGCGTAGGTGTATACACTCTTTATCTTCCCTTAAACCTTGAGATTAAAATTGCTTCAAATCTGTCTTTCTTCCTGTACTATATCCTCATATATAATCTTTCTTTTATATATTACCACCATTAAATTAACTACTTCTATGAATTCGGTGTTCATCTTATTGCGCTAATGAGATGTGGCACTTTGGACCTATGCATATGTGTGCCTGGTCTTACGTTGTAGCTAAGTGACTGACTGGAACAAAAGGATTTTGTGGACCATATTTTATCAATATCACCAACTTGCACCATATAATCGGTCAAATAATTGGAAAGAACAAGAACAAAGGTACTAGTAGAATAGCATGAATTCATTTTATTCCGTTGATCCTCGTCAGCTGCTTACAACCAGTTATTTTTAAGTCGGTAATTTTAAAAGGGACTTAAATTACTTAAATCCCTTTTTGAACGTGTTCCTAAAAGCCTCAAAACAAGAGAAAGTAAGTCTCTAAACAGTGCAATTACTAAACATCTCGATATAGGATATCAGGTCCGTACCTTGCAATCTTTCAACGTGATTAGTGAACAGCCAAACTACAGTCTTCTGAAGTATACTGAAGGCGTTTCTATTAGGGGTCAAGAACCTGACTTATGTGTTTAAAAGGAAATAGTTATCAATTTTTTCTTGCCTTGGTGACAAACAATCTTTCGCCGCATCTAAACTTTTTCTCTTTTGTTTTCTAAACCTTTCTTGCATCCATTATTTCAACTATCTTCCGGATTAACAATCTTATTTTATTAACTGAGCTCTACTCATTTTATTCCTACCAACGTTTACTCATTATGTAATCACTTGTTTCTGGCCGTTCGAACTGTTGTCACAATCAATGTTGTAGAATTTTCTTTTACATAGGGTATATACTTACAATATTCAGTCTATTAAATTTATTTACATCCTTGCTATACTGTACTAATGTGTCCTCAACATAACTTATAACTGAACACATTCATTTAAGTAATTTAAATTCGTTTTGCAATTACAGTTTTTAAATATCACAGGTTGTAAGCAGCTGACGAGAACCAACGGGATAAAATGAATTCATACTATTCTACTAGAATCTTTGTTCTTGCTCTTTTCAAAATTATAACAGGAACTATGTGTATGAAAGTCAAATAATTGTCACACAAAAAATCGTTATTTTCCACAGGCCCCTGGACGAAACGTCTGAGATATTGTAAACCCATCATCTCCGTTACTCATAGCCGCATAAGTAATTATCACATTCTCTAGAGTTGTTACACAATAAGGGGAGTTAAGAGTCTACAAGGTTGATTGAGCTAATAAACATTCAAGTTTTGAAGAGTAGGAAACGAAATTATATCTCACAACACATTCTATGAACTCATACACATTTATCGATGATTTTGAAAAAGATGACAATATACGTTCATCGTATTTATAATACTTTAGACAGTTGTTCAAGTTGATTCCGATTCGTGAATATATCAATATAAGGAATAAATTACTAGGACTGCAACTCTCATATTTCGACATAGCGATACTTGTCTGCTTCTAATAATAAATGGAAGGGGTTTCGAACCCGCGATGCTATTTGTCGTTAGTCAAACGAAGCGAACAAAACTTTCTTTGTAGCAAGCTATATGAACAATGATGAATACAAAAGCCTAAATATCTTGAATATATTGGATCTTACTGTTTTTGCGTTATCTGCACATGGTAAAAGTGAATAATTTGGAGCTGTGAGTGTGAAGCGTTCAGCGGGTAAACGAATGCCACAGTGAGGACGAACAGCTGGTAAAGGCTGTTCATTTTTCTCAGCATAAGCTAGCAACTGATCTCTATAGGGAGGTGCAAACATAAGTCCATCTGTGACTGAATTGATGGCTAGTTGTACGTCATCTTCCTCAATTTTCGTTCGACCGGCATGATGAGAAACGGCCTTTGCCTCTTCAATAACATCACATGTGTGTCCTACCGTATAATGGCAAACTTTCAAACAAAACATACTATACAAAACGTCCAAAACTCGTGTACATATTTCATCCGAAACTTCTGAGACGTTAAACTCCGAAAATATCTCTCTAACCGCAGCTAAAGACGGAGGTAATACTTCATTGATATCTGTGGGATTTTTGTGTTCTGTCATTGACTTCTGTACTCCGCACTACACTACGTAAGAAATATTTGAGAAATAGAAGAGACACTAAAATTACTTTACTATTTGCATCAATTTAATATGATTTGTTGAAATAAAATAACCACAAAAACACTTATCTCAGGGAAATCATAAGATAGTCAGCTACAACGTAGGACCAGGCACATATATGCATCGGTCCAAGTTGCCATACCTCGTTAGCACAACAAGATCAACACCGGATTCATAGAAGTAATTAATTTAGTAGTGGTAGTATATAAAGAAAGGTTGTATATAAGGATATAGTACAGGAAGAAAGACAGATTTGAAGCAATTTTAATCTCAAGGTTTAAGGGAAGATAAAGAGTGTATACACCTACGCCATTGTGATCGATTCTGAGCCATGTCACCCAGAGTCTCCAACCATTGGTTACGATAGTCACGCGGACCCCAACCAGGTAGTCTGCATCTGCCAACATGGCTCAGACTAGAAGTTAGTGACTTCAAGCACTGACGCCACGTTTTGGTTTGGCCGTCCCTAACTCTTTTCCAACCATCCCCTACACTAGTCAGCATTGCGCGTCGTGGTAATCTGTGTTCAGGCATACGTAACACGTGGCCCAACCATCTCAGTTGATGAGGATTCACAATCTCATCAACTGATTTACCATCATTCCCTAATACCCTGCGTCTAACCTCATCATTACTTACCCGGTTATCCCAGCAGATGCGAGCGATATTTCTAAGACATATGTGCTCAAATACTAGTAACGCACGAGTATCTTCTACTCTTAATGGCCATGTTTCACAGCCGTAAAGTAGAACAGAGCGAACTGCTGCTCAGTATACTTGTCCCTTAATTGATAGACGAATATCTCGCCTTCGTCATAGGTGACGTAAGTTGGCAGAAACCAAACGAGCTTTCTGAATTCGTGCTGAGATCTCGTCAGATACCAACCCATTAGGACTGATCAGACTTCCAAGATAAGTGAAGTTATCGACTCGTTCGACTACTTCACTCCATATCCTTAGTTCAAGTGTTGACACAGGCCAGTCCCGGAGTAACAGTTTACATTCGGATGGAGAGAAACGCATTCTAAACATCCTGGCATTATTACTGAGTTCCAACAGAAGACTCTGCATTTTGTAAATCATAAGATATGGGGCAATTTACAGGAGTTCCAACTTACCTTTATTTCTTACTGAGCAAAACTGCGAAAGGCCATATTTTAATCTTATTCCTTGGTCAAATATTAATGTACTATTCAGTATTATATTTAATATTGAACAGAAGGGAATGTATAACGGTAACATTTAGAATGCTAGTTGGATTGACTTGTTTGATTTATAAGGACTATAGTTAATGTATAGTAGCTATTTTATGAGAACAGAAAATTGTGAAAACACTAGTTTTACTATACCTAATATCAGATGGGAAGCAGTATCATCTCAGTGTATTTTAAATAAACCATATCGGCATAAAATGCTATGATTAATATAGTAAAAAGTTTGTAACTCATTTATTTGACCACAAATGCTGGTACAAGGGAGCACCAAAACATATATGCGCCACACAATAAAAATGACGTTATAAAGAAGTAGAGAAGAAAAGGTGGGCATAATGAAAAGAGAATAAAAATGGATCGAAATTAGTGAGTGAAAGTGAAGTAATAATAATAGTAATGATAATAGGAAAAACAGTTCAGCTATGATAAATACAACCGGAAAGAATTCTTTGGGTACAGGAGTTACTCTCACTTTTATGAAAGTAGAAAAAATTCACCAGGATCACCTCTGGCTTCTACTCTGAGACATTCCTGATGACGTCTCAAGTCACTGTGTTGAACCCTCTCTAGGACCCCAACCAGGGAGTCGTGAATGATCAACAGAATTCAGTCATGTACAGCTTTCTTTCGTATCACGAAACCATGTTATACATTGACGACCTCTCTGCCTTTTCTAACCGGTCCCAGCGTCGGCAGATGATGCACGACGTGAAATTCTCTGGGACGACGTTCGTAGAAGATGTCCAAACCACCGAAGTCGATGTTTCATGACAGTGACACCAACTGAATTATAGTCGCTGCGCCCAAACACACGATGTCAGACCTCTGCATTACTAACATGGTGTTGTCACCGGATGTCAGCAGTCCTTTGGAGACGACGATCGGACAGAGAGTCGTCTAACATCGTCAACTCAGAGAGGCCAGGTTTTACTAGCTTAGAGTAAAACTATTCTCACTGACGCATTGTAGATCCGAACTCTCACAGTCTCACTAGCATCACGAAACCGCTTAAAATGGCTCAGATTGGCATAAGCCGCTCCGGTTTTCACTATACGTGGATTGGTCTTGTCACTCACACCAACAACAGAACTTATGCAGCTACTAAGATATACGAAATTGCAGTGAACCGGAGGTGGCCCTGATGTCAAGAAACATTACGACTGTATGACGATGTTCTAACATCTGGCGGAGAGTGAAGACATGATCAATACAACCTCAACTAGAACCAGAACCAGCCTACTTCTTGCCAGTCGATTTCGGTTTTTATACGATCTGAGAAGCATGACGGAAGCCGACAATTTGGTCACATTCGGAATTCTACTTATCTTCCGATAGTTGTTGCTTAGGTGACGTGAACCCTTTTAAAATAGGAGACAACTATTGACTCATTCAACGATTTTGGAACACTCTCTAATCGCCAGACGTTCGCAAACAACTTGGTCCTCTAACCAGACAGTCGCTACCATCCTTAAGAAGTGTCAAGTGCATGTCGTGCAGGCCTGGTGATTTGTGGCACTTCAACAGTTGGAGTTCCTTCAGAACTTTTTCCTCGTCATGCGTATGAATCGTCACCAGCTATGGAGAACAAAACAATCTGATCGATGTTGCCGGGACAACAGACCAGCTAAACTATCCCTTGAAAAACTCTGTCCATCATTCAAGACGATAGATTTTAGTGGTTGACATCCCGTCATCTTCACAGACTGTTTTACTCACACCAGACTTCTTGCTGCCAGTGGCTCGGATGAGTTGAATGAGCCTTTGGCAGTTACCAGATTATGCTGCTTCCAACTCTTGATTCAGGTCTTCACAACAAGGGTTCTTTTTTATACCCATTCTACACACCGAAGTACTCTATTTAGACTCCTGTTTTGCACAGTTTCGCAATGGATTTCAGATAACTGCAGTTAGAGATTGTGCATGGAGATATGAAGTAAAGTTATAGTGATCTCGAAATTGTGCTAATAAACGTACAAAGCGTTTACTAAGGTTAAAACGATCATTTTTCGCGGTGGCTTACATCATGAAAGTTATTTTTCTAAGTAGTAATTTTGTGTTGGGAAACAGTTGTATGAGACGACGACGAATTTGTTACTAATTGGCGACTATATATATAGAAAAACAATTTGATCGAGAGGATTTCGGTTCTGCAAAACCACTCTTCACACTGAAACTGGATTCAGATGAATATCGTTTTCGCAGGCGGGATTAAAAAGCATCCAACAAATTACTACAAGTCTTTAATAGTTTAGGTTATCTGTATAACAAGATCCAGTGGATAAACTCACCGATTAGTGAGTCTTTATGAGCACTAATTACGGTCATGATAAGTTTACAATTAAAAATTCTACGGATAAAAACTGGGCTTTCACAGCATTGCTAGCTTCATTATAAAGCCGAATATTTCAGAACACTAGAAGGTATTACCTGAACACTAAATTATCTGCTTGACACTTGGCCTTCAAATTGATGCATTTCAAGTTGTCACTGATTGTGTGTACAATATCTAAAGTAGCAGTTATCAACTAGCCATGGGTTACTTCTCTTCAAGAAGGCGCAGCTAAAACATCGTTTATGAATTTTCATTGGTATTATCAAACATAGCTTTTAAATATGAAAAGATAAATAATCTTGTTTCAATCTTTCTGTATCGCTGGGTAAAAGTAAGCTTCACTTTCAGTTTGAGAAGTACACGAGGTTGATTATGATGATGCAACGGATGTTCTAGTTTTACAACTAGCTACCAGTAGCACCTTCTATATTCGATCGTTCCCAGTCAGATAGAAATCAGAAGTCAGACGAGAAGAGGCAGGAAAGATATATTTGATTCGTCACCAATATATCGAGGACCTTTCCTATAAGCTGGCTAATGAAACGTAGGAGCTGTGTCCCACGCCGTGTTGAAACGTGATCTGGTGCGGATGCATGACCGACAGCCTTCAGCTAAACAAGTCCACTTAAACAACGTGGTCAGCATCCAATGTCGAACACTTAATGAACTATTGATTTTGGGGAATTATTTACAGCTACAGATCACTCCCCCCCCCTAGTGAGGTAGTGATGCCCCTAAGACGTGACCAGCCAGAAGTTTAAACCCAACGAGTTTGTCGTTGGTAAACACTCTTCTGATAGCTTGCTTCGTTTAGCAGCGTCTGGTCGTCTTTCCTTAAACTATGGGACCAAAATGTACAACATAGCAATAAAGAAATATAGTACAATGAAAATTTCGGCTCCTTGCGAAACTTCGTCGTTCTTTTCCAGCCATCCTGGAAAAGAGGAAAAATAAAACGTGTGAGTGCATGTCGAAAAATACACTCGTACTTGCGTAAGGACACAAGATGAGCGGAAAAAAATAAACTGATACACTTACAAACAGCGTAAAAGCGATCGGAAAAAATGGTTTGTTTTTTGTTTTTTTTATATATAAAAAGTATATATATATATACATATATATATATATACGCTCAAAAAAAGTAATAAAAATGTTTTTTATAAATAAAAAAAATGAGCATATTAAAAAAAATTTATAATAAACAATGAAAAGGTAATTCAAGATAAAGCTTATGTCCTACGTGCAATATTCTATAAGATGTTCTGGAAATCTTACTCGTCTTCCAGAATGCGTTGTTTTAGGTTTTTCTATCGACGTTGACGAAGTATCAAGTTGTGTGTCGGTTGTCGTGTGGGGTACTACGAGTGTAGTAGCTGTGTCGTTTGCTTGTACCG